GGAAAATATTTTTTAATGCTCATAATGTTCTAGGATTAGATAGTGGGTATATGACTTTGTGAATACACTAGAAGCCACTGAATTTTATATTGCAGAAGGGGACATTTTATGGTATGTGAATTGTATCTGAATTTTTTAAAAAACTCACAAAGCACCATTTAAAATAGCCAAAAACTAGAAATAATCAAAATGCCTAATAACAGAATTTATATCACATATTCTATGGTATGAATTTTAAATACATATATAAGAGTGTGTGTATGTGTGAGAGAGAAATATTAGGTGAAGAATGCACATAAAAGAATATTACAAGAAAAAAAATAGAATATCACAGACCAGTACAGGTCTATATATAATAATCCAATATGTGTCACGTGGAAATCAGAGACACTGTCAGACACTGCTGCTACCTCTGCTTGCAAACTTGGAAGGAGAACAACATTTCCATTTGTAAAGTATTTCCGTGTACATTATCTGATTTAATCCTTAAAACCACCCCAAGAGAGAGGCACCGGGGGTTATCAGTATTATGCAGAGGTGTGCCGAAGGTCACAGCCTTGAGAACTGGGACCAGAAACCCCACACCCTGCCATTGCCTCCACATTGTGGGAGATCCAGGTTTTCCCAGCAAAATCAGATATTTTTTTTAAAAAGAAAAAGGAAAACAACTAAAAGCCAGCTGCAATCCCTACCAACATCTTCTGGGATTACTAAAAATAAAAAGAGGTGAGGGCCAAGGAGAGCACGGGTGTGCTGGCTGGCTGGCGGCTCTCTGGACAGGAGGCCGGGCAGCTGCCCTGGGCTCACCTTGCAGACAGCTCTGCAGATGGGGCGGGAAGGGAGCTGGCCCTGCTGAGCGAGCTCCCCGTCCCTTCTGGCAGGCCAGGCTGCAAGGCAGGACAGCTGGTGTGTGCCTGGGAGGACCCTGGATGCCCTGGTCCCTCGGTGAGAGGCACTGAACGGTCACTCCAACCCTCAGAGGTGAGCAGGCACCAGGCTCCTCTCCCCAGTGTACAGATGGGGACCCTCAGGAGACGTCCTCAGGAAGTCTCCCTTTTTCCCCTGACAAAAAAAAAAGCCTTTTCCCCAGCGGGAAAACTAGGGCAGCAGAGACTGCTCCTGAGCGCGTTGTAGCAGGAAAGCCGACAGCTGAGGGCCTGGCTGACAGGGAGGCTGTGCAGCGCAGTGGTTAGAAGTCCGTGTTCTGAGGTGCCAGAGACCTTGGTTCAAATTCCAGCACACCCAGGAGAAAATGCAGCCCGACCCAGACAGCTGAACGCTTGCCCATCAATGACAAGGTCCCTCCTGTCTGCAGAGCCTTTCCCAATGCCTTGATGAGGGCCAGCCAGGGTCATCTCCCCAAAGAGGCTAAGTGACTGTCCTTCTATGGCCCATGCTGCTGCTTCAGGAGACCTCAACCAGGGTACCCAGGGTATCTGTGATTCCCAGGGGCTCCCGGGACTGTGACTCCTGGGAGGAGCACCCCAGGTCACACTGAGAGGAGCTGAGCGCTGGATCACTTCTTCCTTTCCTCCTCCCGCCACCTCCCACCCACCGGCCTGTGCGGCAGCCTTGACTCTGCAGCAAACTCCTCTGGGCCAGAGGCTGCAGCAGAAAAAACCACTCGCACGCAGCCACGGAGGGGGAGCCGGGGAAGCCAGCTTCCACCCATTTGGACGTGTGTGAATGGGGGTGGGGTGAGACGTTCAAATGACCTTGCAGCTTAGAAGTCCCTGTCCCAGAGTCTGCAGCAGCTCTGGACCAGGAAGCTCCACTTCCCAGGCCTGCCTTGCAGCCCCCTCCCTTCCCAGCACTAGGGCGGTGGCCTAGGCTGCCACCAGGTGCCTGGTGAGTCCAGTGCTGCTTCTGCACAGGAGTCAGCTAGGGTCGCACAACTGCAGGGTAGGGGGTAAGCTGGGGATCTGCCCGACCACTTGGCAGAGTCGGAACATGAGAAGTGGACGGAATGCAGGGAGAATGGCCCGTCTACTTTGTCCTGCCTAATGGTCAGACTGCAGGGCTCTGAACCCTGCCTTGGAAACATTCTGCCCACGCTGAGTCTCACTGCAGCAGCACGTGCCTGCTAAGCCCACCAAATGCCGGCAGGAGGGCAGTCTTTGCCCCGCCTGCTTCCCACCCCTACCCTGACGTGCCGGGCACCGTGCTGCTGGCCCTGGTGGGGTGGGCTGCACGTCTGCAGTCCTGTCCTCTCTCTCCAGCCTGAACTACAGACAGGGGCCCCCCTAAGGGGACAGTGTGGAGCAGTGCTTGGGTCACCAGGGCTGATCAGGCCACCTTCTTGGGATATAGACAAAACTTGTCCTCTGGCACACAGGTGCACAGAACAGAGAGAGAGCACACACATTCTCTTGCCAAGTACCCCCTTATCCAGAGGCCCCACTGCTGTGGGGAATGGGCACAGCAGCAGGCAGTCATTCACTCCTTGTTACCGACTGTTCTGGGCCTGCGTATGCAACTGTCGGTAAACAGGCCAACCAGGGAAACCCGAGCCCCAGGACAGCTGCAGTCCTGCTGACCGCTCTGACAAGGACAGTAGGCTGAAGTAGTCACTCTGGCCACACCTCACTAGCTGCAATCCCCTCTGACTGGTGGATTCCCTGCTGCCTGTCCCGCTCCTGGCTCCCTTTGCCCCTGGGCTGAAGGCACAGACCCCAGCCGAGTGAAAAGGCATGGTGCTCTGGGTATTAGGAGCAGTGGGAGCCTCCGCCTCAGAACCCCACACTTCAGGCAGAGCTGGGCCTGTGCTCTGGCCCCACACAGGAGCCTTGAAGACAGAGCCTCAGAAGCCTTTCCCTGCCAGACCTTGGGGACAGCCAGCCCCAGCTGTTGTGCTGCTGTTCAAACAGCAAACAGACCTGCCCAGGCCTCTGCCTGTCTTTCTGCCATGTCTTCTCTTTTCTTTTCTCCCAAATCCAAAGGTACCTGTGCTAGGAAAATCAGGCCTGCAGTCTGCCTAGCCCTGGCTCCACAGGGGCCCTACGAAGCACACAAACGACATGAAATACCAAGAAGGAAACAGGGTGGGAGGATTGGAAGAAATAAGAGGTCATTGTGCCAACGAGCGACTGGGGACATGATGGCTCTTCCGCAGCCCAGGGTGGGCACAGGAAGGAGCTGCCAGAAAGGGAGGAGAGAGGAGTCCTGGTTTCCCAGTCCTGCCAGGACGGGGCCAAGAACAGGCAGAGAGAGGTGCAGGTGCCACCGCTGGCCCGCAGCAGGGTGGCAGGGCCGCGCTCCCCTTCTGCTCCACGCTCTCCGCACCAGATCTGCAGCTCATCTCTCTGCAGGGGAAGCAAGGACAAGGCACACGTGGCCGCCAGGACATCAGACACACACAGGCACAGCAGGAAACCCATGGCCTGGGCCCTTGCTGAGGACCAGGAGGGGACATTTGGAAGGGCTGGGGGAGGATTCCCCAAAGGCCCGCTGCAGGGGCCAGGGCCTCTTTTCCGATCCGGTTCTGAGTGGAGAAGCCCAGCACCTTCTCAGCACAGCGATGTCCTTCGAGGCCTGGCTCAGGAAGTCCTGCCTGGCCTCCTGCTCCCCACGGCACTGCCTGCCTGCACACCCGCTTTGGAGTCTGTGCCACCATCAGAGTGTGGTGGTGTTGGCACCCCCTCAGACTCAGAGAATCTGTGCAGAGTTAGGGGACGGAGGCTGCGTTTCAGACCTCGCTGTAGCACCTCAGCCCCACAGAGAGCTTCTAGCACTAAATACACATTCAGAGAGGAGGGGAAAGCAAGAGAGTGACCGAGGGGAAAAGAAAGGAAAGGAAAATGGCAAAGAGAAAGAACGAGGTGAAGAGAAAGAGAGACAGACCTCCTAGTCCCCCCGAGGTCCGAGGGCTCTGGGCCCGCCGCTCCGGCCAGTGCACACTGTGGGGTGGGGCTGGGGGGCCACGGCCTCCAGTGCTCCCACTGCAGCTGCAGAAGGCAGTCACGAGGTGAGGGGACACTGGCGCTGTGCGGCAGCACCACGTGGCAATGCCGAGCCTGGGCGCTGGGGCCGGACTGGTGCCCCCACTTGCTGCCATGGGACCTTGGCCACGTCACCAAACCTCATCGGTTAGAGAAGCCCACCTCGTACGGCTGTTGGGGGGACTAAATACACAGTAAGAATTAGCTTTTATTTCTACTGAGTAAGAACCGATGCTTTACACATACGGTCAATGCTCAAAATATCTGTAACATCACAGAATGCCAGAGCTTGAATGGACCTGAGCTGCCATCATGTACACAACTGGCTCGTCTCACAGATGAGGGAAGTGGTATGCCAAGGTCACCCAGCCACCTTCAGGCAGACACAGGCCTAATGCTCGGGCCCCTGACTCCCAGGTCAATGCTGTTCATTCTGTGTTTATTTGATACTTCTGAGGCGTGTGGCAGGGGCCAGGGAGATGCCTTCCTGGAACCTGCCATCTGGTGGGAGAGACAGACCGGACAAGGACAAGACCAGGGGGAGGGGAGGAGGGGCAGCGCAGGGAGGCACGTGGCGCCGTGGGAGATGCAAAGGGGAGCAGGCGTTGCAGGTCCCAGCGAGGGCTGGGGCTTCCTGACTTGCCCATGCATGAGAGCTAACACCCGAGAGGCCTGGGGGGAGGCAGGAACAAGGGGAGCACCCCAGGCAGGGGCTGCTGCAAGAACAAGAGTCAGAGAAGCCCTCACAGGGCTCTGAAGGCCTCCACCACACTCATGTAAAACTCGGGGTAACTTCCAGCACTGACTGCTTGCCAACTGCTCCCGCATCTGTGCTAGGCTTATGACACGGGGCCATCTGCTCCCCACAGGCAGCAGTGGCTATTTGGGCTTTGCCAGCAGGTGCCCTGGGCACACAGCAGGCCCTGGAGACCACACGTCAGCAGAAAACTTCCCTCTGAGAAGCGCCGGCCGAGGCTCTGCCCCTGCAGGGCCCAACGCCTCGCTGCAGACAGCAGCGGGCAGAGGCCGAGGGACTCGCAGCGCACTGGGCCCCTCACGCACCTGCTGCGTCCACACTCTCCTTCACGACGATCTCCACCCGCTCCACGTGGTGCCGGTTCCAGAGGCCATCCAAAGCCTTGCGGTTCTGGTCCCGGAAAGGCAGAATCTGAGCCACGGCCTGTCAAGGAAGAGGACTGGTTGTGCCACAGGTTCTTCTCACGGCGAAGGAGGACTCCAGGAAGGCTCCAGACCTCTCTGTCCCCTACTCAGAGGAGAAGGTGCCGTCGGAGCAACAGTTCCTGGACTTCGGGGTTTCACAGCCCGGTAAAGACCCCAAAAACTTTCAAGTGGCCTCTACAGGGTTACCAGCTTTTACTTTGCCAAGAAAGAAAATAGTTTAAATTATCTATCTTCTGTGAACATTTAATAAAATTAAGATATTTTAACACCAAAAATGTAGCAAGAAAAGTTTCCAACTGAACACATTCAGTATTTTTCCTCATTTTGCCATAATGAAGTGAAACCTCACCAGGATGGCACGGGTCTGAGACCACTATTGGGGAATATTGTTACGGGCAACTCCAAACAGGGAGGCATGAAAGTGATGCCTCGGTACTAGATGACCGTCTGTGTCCGCATGGACCCGGGCCCGCCAGCCTCCGTACCCAAGAACACAGTGGCTGGTATACTCTCTGCTGGGGTTTCTGGGACTGGATGTCAGAAAGGGGCTCCGAGGCATGTCCAAGTGAACTGGCCAGCTGACTTACATCCCCCAGGAGGAAGTCAGCCCCATGCTCCTGTCCCCAGGCCTGGCTGAAAAGCACAGCCTTAGAGTCCCACTGCTCCCCATTCGGTTTTGAGATCTTGTTACCAGCCTGTGGCTCAAAACAGAACTTGGGAAGAAAAAGATTTTGAAGAAGGGCAGATGGGTGCAGGATAAGAAAGCTAATTCTAATTCCCACGGCATACCTAACTGGAAGCCAGGTACAGACCCCAGAGTCCCGGGACCACCTCTATAGAGGATGCAGGGCCATGCTGAGAAGCCAGAGCCTAGACCCTGGCTGGGAAACAAAGAGGACCAAGGATTCACAAAGAACAGGAGAGGCCAGATGTACAGACAAGAACCAAACAGTCCTGCCCGCTGCTCACTGCTTTTCCTTTGCCCCTCACCTCCTGCCCACCTTCGAGACCATGGAAGTACAGATTTCACAATGCCCTCGGGCCTGAATCCACCATTAGTGATGTGGGCCTGTTGATGGGGTCCACTGGCTCACCCCAACACTGGCAGGCTCTGAGCTGATGCTCACCTGTTTGCCCAGGTAATGGTCCACCCGGTACATCTCCTCCTCCTGGAAAAAGCTCCTGAGTTCTGTGGCCAGCTGCTGGGCTGAGAGGTGGTCATGGCCAAAGGGTTTCTCAAGGACCACCCGCAGCCAGGTGCCAGGGCCGGGACGGCAGCTGCTGTTGATGTTGCGCGCAATGTCTGCATAGGCGAAGGGTGGCACGGAGAAGTAGAAAATCCTGCCAGCCTCCCGGAGGCCTTCGTGCTGGATCTGTGCCTCAATGTCCTTGCTCAGAGCCCGGTAGTCCTCAGTCGTCTTCAGTTGGCGGTACTGGCTCAGCCGTAGGAACTGATCCTTGCGTTCAGCACAGTGACTGGGTGCCATGTCCTTGGGGCAGGAGAGGGATTCCAGAGCCTTGGCCATGAGCCCTTGGCCCTGCTCGGGGGCCGTCAGGGCAGCCCCATGGAAGCTAAAACTGTTGCCCTTCCCTGCCTCATCCAGGTAGAGCTGGAACAGCCCCTGCCATAAGTACTTCTTAGCCAGGTCCCCAGTTGCTCCCAGCAGGATTACGGAGACATGTCCCTGGGGCTCCTGGGCCTGCAGGCAGCCCAGAAGAGCCATGCACATGGCCACTGTGAGCATCTTCCAAGTGCCTGGGTTCCTGAGGTGCACAGAAAGACACAAGGAACAAGGAAGGATCAGACAGATACAGAAGCAAACACATTTCCTGGGCATCAAACATTTCCTGCCTGGCAAGAAACAGCCACGTTTCTTGAGAAAATGTCACAGGCCCATAGCTTCCCCTCCTGGGCAGCTTGGCTTCTGTGGCAGGCAGTCAGTGAGTAGGGAGCCTGCCTTGAAAACAGAGACTGTGCCTGGGGAAGTCATAGGCCACTTGCTAGAGATGGACCATTTTGCTGCCAGGAGCATGCACGGGAAAGTGGCACAAGCCACCTGGGAGGCCCGTGGGGCTGGGAGTGGAGCTGTCCATCTTATGACAAGACCAGTCCTAACCAGGAGCAGCACAGGTCGCCAGGACCAGCAGGGCAGGCCCAGCCCAGGAACGGTGGCAGGCCCTCAGACGATGGCTGGACTGTGAGAGGATATGACCACCTCTTCTCACCTCTCCTTTTCCCCATGTCTGCTAGGCTCTGAGTACAAAATGACGACTAGTAATTGCCGTGGCATAGCGATTACAAACATAGACCCTGGAACCAACCGCCTGAGTTTGAATCCCGGCTCAACTCCTTAGTAATTGGACGATTATTTAACCTGGCTGTACCTCAGTTTTTTCATTTGAAATGGGGGTAATAGTGGTACCTACATCACGGAGTTGTTATAAAGATAAAATAAGTTAATGTTTATAATACGCTTAGGACAGTGCCTACCACCTACTAAGCACTATGTAGTGGTAGCTGTCATCATAAAACAGCTATAACAGCAGCAAACACTTAATGCTAGCATGTGCCAAATACCAAACTACATATATATGTGCATTAGATCTCACTGAATCCAGACAAGAATCCTGAACAAACCACATGGGTGGGTTCCATCATAGTTTCCCCTTTTACGGATGGAAAGCTGAGGCTCAGGTACACGAAGGTCCCACGGTGAGAAAGTGGGGAGCTGGGCTGACGCCAGGTCCCTGGCTCCTGAGCTGCACGTGCAGCAGTTGCGTGCTACAACCTCCCCGAGGTAAGCCCACCACCTGGCTGGTTTTCAGCCTACTTTGAAGTGGCTGACATGTACGAGTGGCAGAGGCCTGGGTCAGGTCACATCCGCACCGGAGTATTTGTTTTGCTGGCTTTCTGTTCTGGCCATGTTTGCAGGGCTCACTGCGCTGAATTCTTACTCCACAGCTCTCTGGTTCAGTTTCCTACCAAGGCCGGGCTTGGAGGGAAGGGTAGAAGGGAAGAGGAAAGTAATCATGGCCAGTACCTCGGTGGAAATGGGGCGGCCTGGGGTGGAGTAGTGAAGAAGGAACTCAGATTACCGATTTAGCACCTATTATATGCCTGGCATCCTACCAAAGGATTAACAAAATCTTCACGGACCTTAGGAGGCTATAATCTGGTAATACAAATAGGGAAACGGAGGTTTAAACAGATAACTGGACTTATAAAAGGCCCCAAAGAACAGCCAGCTTACGTGCCCCCCATCTCCCTATAATACAAGGGGACCAAATCACCTCTGGACCTGCCATCAGACCCCCTTCTCCCACCTCTCCCTTTGCCTCCTCTAATCTCTCTCGAGATCCATCCCTAAGATGGCCCTAGTGCACAGCCAAACCACGATGAGGACCCAACGACAGTGTCTGCGCCAGTGCCTGCAGGACACCCGACATTTCCATCACTGCAGCTTTACCTGGAGGGGCAAGGGACCACGTGAGTGGCCCCCATCTTCCTCCCCCACTCTCCTTTCATCTGCACTCACCCCCCAATACAGAAACGGACCACAAGACCATTCTGCTTTCTTCTGCTTTCCCATCAATCCCTGTCCTTGGTCCTTCAAGCATTTTTTTCTCAACTGGCAATCGCCTGTCTGGAGGGAAGGAAAAGCTGCAAGGTCAGTGCGGGAGAGAGGCAGTGAGAAACCTGAAGCCCAGAGAACAGCCTGGAGAAGGAGGAGCGCCAGCTGGCAGGCTGCGTCTCAGAGCTCCTGACTGGAGCCTGGTAGCCAGGGGCCTGGACGTGCCTGGCACAAGAGGAGGAGCCCAGGCACTTCAGAGTGCCGGGACGGGCAGGTAGGGGAGCCCCAAGGGCCAGCACTGCTGCCCCCCACAGAATACCAGACAGCCATGCTGCGTGGCCGCCTGGCCTGAACTGACTCCCGGCCCTGTTTACTCCTCCTCTGACTCTGAAGTTTTATGGTAACTCTCCCTGAGCAGGCCTGTTCCCGGTCCCCAGTTCTAGGTTAGCTTCCCTTATCTCTTGACTATGTTCCCAGCACTCCTTTAAACATATCCAAGATATCGGGTATTTCAAAACAGTTGCTTACTCTGTGCTTGCAAAACAACTCTTTCCCAAATGGGTGTGGGTGGTATGTGCGTGCATTTGTTTTTTTATTAGCGTGTTTCCTAACCTTAACAGTGCTTTTCAAACTTTAACGTGCATTTGCATCTCGTGGGGATCTTTTTAAAAGACAGATTCTGACGCATAAGGTTTGGGAGGGGTCTGTGGTGCTGACAGCTGGTCCAAAGAGTGCACTTTGCCTAGCACACTCTGGAATACTGAGCAGTGAGTTCTAGAGCAATGGCTCTTGGCACAGGAGGGCGGCAGAATCAAGACACACACCTACCCTCCTACTCCCTTCGCCAAGACAGAGAAGTACTGATTCAGTAGGTTCCGGGTAGGGCCTGACACAGGTATTTCAAAACAGCCTCACATGGCTTAATTTGCCCATCCCCTGCAAACACTGGTTGCTAACTACTGACGATACCTGCTCACTAAGTGGTCAACGAGCGCTGGATGACGTAGATGTACTGTCTCCATCCTTCCTCGCCGCAGTCTGTGAAGGAGGCTCTACGAAAATTCTCATTTCACAGATGAGGAAACTGGGAGGTGAAATAACTGCGAAGTCACAAGCCTGGGCCCTCAGGCTCTGTGCTTTCTTAGCCAAGGAGAAGAACGTGGGATTGTGGCCCGAGGAGCTGGGCTCGAGGCCACTTCCCAGCTGTACGGCCCAGTAAAAGCAGCTTATTAAATCCATTTGGGCCCACGTTTCTTCACCTATAAAACAGGGCTAATACCACCAACCTAAAGGGGAGGAGGGTTGTGAAGATTAACTGGGATGATACAGGTGTCAAAAACATATACAAATGCTAATTAATTAAGTTAATTAAACATAAAGTGCCCCGGGGCCCCCAAGGGTGGCATAATACCCTTGCTGTCAGGAAAACCTTGCCTGGGCAGCTCCCTCATCTCCTGCAGCTACAGCGCCAAGCCCTGAAGAACAGAGCTGGAAGACTAGTCCTTAGGCTGTAGGAGGCAGGGGGAGGCTGGCTCAGTTATCCCCCCTGCCGCCCAGACAGGGAAACACACACACACACACACACACACACACACATACACACACGCACGCGCGCGCCCAGAGAAGACCGGAAAGTCAAAGTTGAGCTGGACCCCAGCCCTGGGAGCAGAGGGGAGGGTTCCCTGTGCTCTAAACCTCCCCTCGTTCTGTGCAGGCTCTGATTCAAGGGGTTTTCCTGAAGCGCTTCTCCCTCCTGCCTCCTTGCCTGCTCTGCCAGGGCTGTGAAATAAATCTTCCAAAATTGCATGCCTGAAGTTAGCCCAAAAGCACCGAAGTGGCCCTCCAATGGCTGATCCAACTATGAATCGCTTCTTTTGTTTAAAATTAATAAATCAAAAGTCTTAGTGAAAAGTTTGAGACGCTGTAGGAGAGGTCAGGGTATAAGATCAGAAACTAGAATATGTGGTGATCCTTGCCCAGGCCCTCTCAACAACCACATGACCTTGAACAAGTGATTTAAGCTGGCTGGGCCTCAGTTTCCTCATCTAGAAAATGAGAGGCTGAGCTAAAGGATCTCTGTGATGTTAATATTTTACTGCCCCTAAGTCCCATGTCTTCCAAGGAAAGGAGACACCGGCCCTGTTGTCAGGGAGATGCCCTCCACCGTTCTGCAGGGGCAGGTAAGTGCTTAGAGCCTTAGACCAACCCAGCTGGGCAGGGAAACAGGGAACTAAAATAGGAAGCAAAGAGCTGACAACTGTGCGTCATTCAGAAGTCAAGACAAAATTCTTTCAAGTTATGACTTAAGTGCGTGGAGGATGCAATTTCATTTACAATTCTTATTCAAAATACTTTCCAGAAATACACTCACTACAAAATACAGTGCTGTGGGGGCTCCTGCAGGTAGGTGGAAAAGACATTCTTCTGACAGGCTCGTCTCAGAGTTAAGATTGATTGTGGGCACACGTACCCAGTCCCCAGCACCCTTCACTGTCCCCAACTCCAAGCCTGAGAGGCTCCTACCAGTCCTGCTGGGAGAGACTCACCTGTTAAAGAAGGTCCCTGCTAACATCCCAGAAGGTGGGAACACTGACTTGGCCAGCCAGGGTGTTTGGATCGGAATCCAGGTTCTGGTCTGTGTTTTTGCCCAGGTGGAAGAGGCAGGTGTGGTTGGCACCCAGGCAGCCGTCCCTGCCCAGTCCCGGCACAGACTGACCAAGCTGGTGCTACAGCTCCAGCTGCAGAGAGTTTCTGGTAAACCAGGGGAGGGAGCGGCTCTAATCCTCTGCGCCCAGCAGACAAAGGGTGAAGGGGGGTGGGAAGAAGCTGGAAGGTATAGGTCAGTGGCAGCTGCCACCCTGTCCCCTGTCCCCTTTCCCAGCCTTTGACAATGCTACCTTCTGTGCTGAAGGCAGGAAGAAAAGAAATTTTCTTCAAATCACGGCCCATGAGTTGGGAATTTTTAAAAGATCATGTATGTAGGAGTAAAACAAGAATTCAAACTAAATACCATTTTAAACTGGGCACAAGGTGATGTGCCCAGTCCTTTTCATCATGGCCAAGCCACGTATTTGTCCTGCGCTCTTCCCTTCCTATTTGGCCCGTCTGTGCAAATGCGTCCAGGCAGAAGCAAGTCATTCCCACCTGTAGGTCCCAATCCCGGGTCCTCTATAATCAGGGATGCGCTGGAGCCACCCTGTACTGCACAAAAGATCTGAATGCTAAATCTCCAGGAATTTTTCAAGCCAGTTGTTAAACACAGCTGTTATTATTAAAAATGGAATTATGTAAATTTATAATTAAATTATATTTAAAACAAAAGTAGTCAATGCTCAAAACTCATCACTTCCTAATCATTTGATGACATTTTACTAATATCTGTGCTCTTGACATTATTTACATCTACTGTATCTACACAGTGAAGACATTCTGTAACGGTGTGTTTGAAATAGGCCAACGTGGCAATAGTGACACCACAGATGTTGGCAAAGGTTTTGAATCAGGTTTCCCACCGCCAATCCCCACCCCTTACACCGTCAGTCATTAAACATTTCCCAGCACACAACTGCCTATACACCCGTCTTTATTTCCAGCCTGGATTTCTCCCCCTAAACTCCAGACTCGCACGTTCAACTGCTACTCTGACAGTGTTAGCTGGATGTTTACCAGACTTAAGATGTAAAAAATTGAACTGATTTATCTCCCAACCTGCTTCAAATCCAGCTTTCTCCATTCTCAATAAATGGCAATTCTACCCTTCCGAGCGTTCAGACCACAAACCTTGGGGTTGTCTGATCTGTCAGCAAATCCCAGTTTCTACCTTCAAAATTCATCTGGAATACAAGGTACCATCATCTCTGTCTGCATTACTATAGGACACTCCTCACCGGCCTCCAGCATCTACCTCCGGACCTTCTATAGCTGAACCTCAACTCAGCAGTCAGACTGACCTTTTTATAGTGTTGGTCAGATCACATCATCCTCAATTTAGAGGTCCACAGGGTCTACACACTCTGGCCTCCCACCCGTTACCTCTTTGTGCTCTTCTCCTACTATTCAGCCCCTCTCCAGGCCTCAGCCGCCAATGCTCCACTGCAGGGACTTTGCACCTGCCGTTCTCTCTGCCTGGCCTACTCCCACCCCTCCCTGCAGATGTCCACATGGTTCACTTCCTCACTAACTTCAGTCCTTTGCTGAAATGTCACCTAATCAGTAAGCCTTTCTCAAACCACTCTGTAAAACTGTAAGCCTCCCACCCCATCCTCCTCTCTGCTTGATTTCTCTCTGTAGGACATACCACTTTCTCACATACTCTGTGCTAATGACATTTATTTTGCTTGTTGTCTGCCACTCTTCCCCGAAAGAATGTAGGTGCCAGTCAGGACAGGGATTTCATCTTGCTCTCTGCAGTACCTCCAGTACCCTAATCAGGGCCTGGCATACAGAAGGCGCTCTATAAATATTTGCTGAATGAACAAATAAATCCCATTTGCATAGGACCTTTGTCATTTCCGCATTTGAATGATGGCACTAAGAAATAACGCTAATGGCGACTTCAAGCACTGTGACACAGCACACATCACAGGTAGCTTACTACTTGTAACAATACTACTAATAATAAAAGAGTTATTTATAGAGTATTTAACTCCATGCCAAATGCTAGGCTAAAAGTTTGACATGCCTCATACCATTTAATTCTTGCCACAATCCTGTGAGGTAGGTACTATTATTATCCCCATTTTAGCAGTGTGTAGGGAGGAAGCTAAGCTGCAGAGAGGTAAAATAACTTCCTAAAGGTCAGGCAGCGTAGAGGTGATAGGATTTTAATATAGGCAGTCTGGTTCCAGAGCTAACCTCCCACCCACCTGCAAAATGTGACTATATCCCCAAATGGCAAGATGTAAAACATTGTATTAGATACTGGTTCTGCTTCTCTAAAAGACTGGAACAAGTGTTACGGCTCTTTTAGAATTTGTCTAGCAGGTTTTCCGGTCCTTATTGGAAGACCCCATAAAAAATAAAAAATAAAAAAATAAAAGACTGGAACAAGAGTGGTTTAAGCCAGATAGGCTATTTCTCTGCTCCATGAAGTCAAGTTGCCCTGAACACTAACTGCTGCAACTGGCCTCTGCCTCTCAGGGACACTTTGCCTAATTGTGATTCATGCTCCTTCCTTCTGAAACCATGAAGGCATCATGCTTAAGCCTGAGTTGCCCTGTTAAAACCTGGAAAGCCCTCGAGGGCTAGTTTCTAGAGAACTGGGTAAGTGAGAGAACTCTGGATTCACATCTTTGCTGTGACCCCAGACGAGTTATTTAACCTCTCTACCTCAACCACAGAATAGGAAAATTAGTCCACACAAGCACAAAAGAAGCCACATACATTTAGCACAATGCCTGGCAAACAGCACTCAAGAAATGTTAGCTTCTCTCATTAAGCCATTAGCGTCATGAATGAAGGCCTTCTTGCTAGCTTCTCGGAACTGCTGTAAAACCAATTAACCATTCGAACAGAAAAAAGGCCAAGGAACAACTAACTCATGGCCAGCTTACCCAATCATACTGATGAAAGATTAAAGGGATATAATGCATATTTTAAAATATGTCTATTCTATACCCGTTTTCCCTCATCTGCTACCTTTCATGAGCCATGGGCCTGTTGGGGGTGGAAGAGGGGGTGGGCAAGGATCTCAGACTTATCTTTTCAGAAGTTCTCATTTTGGCTAAACATTTGAGGTTTGGGTGGACTGGTTTTCAGAGATCCAGAGAGAGAGGTTTGCCTCTGGAAAACCATTCATGGATCGGTGTATTGGAAACGCTGCTTGAAACCTGAGGGCCAATGCCAAAGATTAAGCATATCCCAAGGGGGAAAGCATGGAGTTCCCACTCTCCTTGGACTCAGTTCCAGGAAGCCTGGGAAAAGGGACGCGCTGGCCCCTCGGGGCTCCCCGGAAGGGGCCTGGCTGCCTCCTACCGAGCCGCCACCAAACCGCACGGCCGCCCGCGCTTCGCAGGGCAGAAAGTGAGGGCCGCGGGTCTGCGAGCAACACGCGCGCGGCCGGCTCGGGCCGGCGGACAGGCCCCGCGCACGAAGGCCGCGGCGACGGCAAGCGGGGGCGGCAGCTTACTTCATCTCCCTTGTCAGAGCCGGCCGCTGCTCCGGGAAATGGCCGGGCGGCGCGGGCGCGGCGCTGCGGGCCGGGCCGGGCCAGGCCGAGCCCGCTCCAGGGCTTTCCCGGCGCGAGCCTGAGACCGACCCGGGCCCGCGCCTCCTCTTCCGCCGGACGCCCGACAGGTGCGCGCGTCACGCGGCCCAGCGCCTCACGGCCGCTCGGATTTCGCCC